CTATGTTGAGTGCAGCTTATTGTATTTGAAGCAAGACTGCTGGAGTGATACCATGAAAGCCAACTTCAGTTTATTTTTTTCTTCCTTTTTGTCTTTCTTTTTTAAAAAAATCATTATGAGGAACCAGTAATCTTGACAGTAAACTATTTCTTTTTGCTAGAGAGAGTTGAGTATAGCAGGAAAATATAAGCCATCTTTTTTTCTGTTTTTCTTTTATTACACCATCCCCCAATCCAATTTCCCAACCCGCCCTCCATTCGTAGAATTCTCAAATGAATATTCAGCTCCTTTCTCCATTTCTAATCTAGTTTTTATAGGGACCATAATGGATAATGAAATTTCTAAAATTCAACTTACTGATAGGATTTGTAACACATAAAAAGGGAAATGTAATATTTTTTAAAATTACGTGTACAGTGGAGAGCAGTGTGGTGGCATAAATTATTCTGAATTAAAGTTCTGGGTCTTAGTGGTGTCTCTGCAACCCCAGAGCTGTAGTGTAAGTGTGAAAGATACACAGACACAAATCTGGTTCTGTGAGCCTGTGTGCTGCTGCGTGAGGGGCCAGCGAGTAGAAGGGTGAGGCCTGCTGCCCAGTGTGTGCACACACCTTGGGAGTAAGTCGCAGTCCAAATGATTTGTGAATTGTGGCTTTGTGAAGTGGCTTAATGAATTTGTTCATTTAGTTTTGGTTGGATTGTAATAAGAGACTGTCTTATGGTGAGTATCTGGCCAATTATATTTTGCCTTGTAGATTTTCTTTCTGGTGTGTAATGGGTACATGATCTCAATAAAAAATGATCCAGAAATTGCAGATATTTTCTCTTGATAAGTAATCCTCAAGGATGGTAGCTCAGAGATTTTGAGGGCATGTTGGTGGTTGATGAGTCAATTTATTATTGAAGATCTCTCTAAAGTGAGATTTCTTCAAGAGCTGACGTCTTTTGGCTTTCTGTTACAAATGTATCAGCTACGCGTGGTGACTATTATTAAATTGAAAACAGCTTTTATTTTTCTGATAGACTATTTTTCAAAATCTGGAACTGTTGTTTCTTCTGGACCAAAAGTAACTGGGTGAAAAAATGGATCAAGACTAAGAGAATAATATGCTGTATGTTTTGCTTGCTAAGAAAACTTAAGTGAGTGGCTGACAACCTTGGCTTTATGTAGTAAAGACCTCTGTTAACTGGAATGCTTCAGAAGAGGCATCCTTATGGACTGTGGAAGTTTTAGGTTAACTGATAATTAAGCAGAAATCTTTGTAGAGGAATTTTTTTTTTTTTAATTAGAGTTTGTGATTCTGCTTTTTCTAATATAACATATGGAATCTGCTTGCATCTTTCTTTGGTGGATGAGGCTTACCTTGTTGATCTTTCTGAACATTAGTAATCATTGCGTAACACTGTAAATTTAAAAGACGTAGAAAACTGGGACCCAGTGGAATTCTCCGAAAATCCCATTTATACATTTTATTCTTATAGATAAAATTAAAACTTAAAAACCAAGTTTAAAGGATGTTTTAAAGGACAGAAGGTATTTCTGTCATCCAGGGTTCCACGGGTTCACTTAGATTCTGCATATTTGAGTTTTTGAGTATTTTCAAGGGGGTGTGGTGGAATGTTGAGGTCCACAGTGTCTCTGGTCACACCCAGAGGTTCTGGATTTAGATAGCATGGCAACAAAATAAACATGTTTACTTGGTGCATCTGCAGTGTCTATAATTTAGAAGCATCACTGCTGTCAGATTATATTTTTAACCTTTTAAACTGGCACTTTCTTGTAATACATTGGGCTGTTGAAAATCAGATTAAATCAGGGTTTCAACTGAGGAGAATTGGGACTGGAAAGCAAAGCTGGAGATGTCATATGTGATATATCATTCTCTAGAGCTGTTTAGTTAGAGGGATGCCTTTTGTTTAAATAAGAATAAAAATAATAATTGGCTACTTCAGCCCACTGATCTTGGAAATTGTTACATCCTCTGATGTAATTTATTAGTGTAACTTACTGAGTGCTAGGGGTTTTAATTGGTGCATAAAGCACAGAATTTATATGGGACTCCTGCCAAGGGTTTCACTCTAAAGTTGAATGTGTCTTTCTTTTTCTCTTTCTTTTTCTCCTCTTTCTCCTTCCCTTCCACCATCCCTCCTCTTCCTCTCCCTTCTCCACTTCTTCTCTTTGTAATTGTGCACTCTGAGATCATTACTTTCCAGGTAGACCTTGGCAGTTTGTCTTTGGCAGTTTCTTCTAGGATACATGTGGAGAAAAACCCACCAATATGAATTAGTCTGTTTCCTCAGCTTCTTGAAAAACTACTTCACACTTCCTTGCCTTCTAGTTAGAGGTGACAGTGTTATGCCTGGCTAGTGTCTAGTCTTACGTTGACTGGACAGGTTTGCTTGGGTGTTACTGAAACAAAATGAGTTTTCACCTACCCAGTAGAAACCTGTACTGCATAAGAGGTAACAGTGTCAAGTTTATAGCTAGGAGTTAAAGATGGGATTTGTAACCTCTTTCAGAAAGTTTTATGTCTCATTATTAACACAAGCCCATAGTAACTGTTTTTTTTTTTTTTTTTTTTTTTCTTCTTAGAAGAGAAAGGCTGTTGAGTATGTGTAGTAAGATGAATTTTTCACGTGAAATTTGAGAAGTGTCTTTCTCAGTCACTGGAGTGGGTAACAGAGAAAAAATGGACCACATAGCATGTCATTGCTCTGCCTCTGGATTAAAGTGGAGGAAAAGAATGAAACCCTATACTACCTAGAGCTTAGCGGGTCATTGGAACCTGTCCCGTTGCCAGAACAGCAGACTTCTTTTTCCAGGTTCCCTAGAGGGTACTCTGACCCTGGTTCCTTATCACCTCCAGAATGTTGCTGATTTGAATGTCTTAAGTTTGATTCTTCTGCTGAAGATCAGGCTCATGCATCTAGAAAGGAGCAGTGTAGAAAAGTGCATGGTTTCCCCTTCTAGGGTATTGAGCAATATAGTTATGAAAAAGACCACTCTTTTGGTGTGTGGAGCTCTAATTTGACCATCGGTTGTTTAAAAAGCAAGGTTGTGCGATCACATTTGAGGCTGATGGATTTAAGATATTAAACTGTTCTGAGTTTATTTAAATTGCTGATGTTCTTTAGGGAGTTGAAAACATTGATCGTTGCAGAGAATTCAGAAACCTTTAAGAGTAGTGCTTGGATCATTCTCAGAACTATTAGTTGATGTCAGATATTTCAGTTTGAGGTTGGAATGAGCTCGCTTGCTCTGGGCTGCGGTTCCTTGCCTGACATCACTTCTTTACCTACGAAGTTATGGGAAGCTCCCAGTTGCACATTTCCCTTGGGCAGTCTTGTGACTGCTGCCTTTGCTGCTTCTGTATCCGTGGAGGAGGCTGCTTTGTGTGCTCAGATACTCCGCGATGTGGGTCAGCCAGGCCACATGCCTTACCTCTCCCCAGCCCGCTCTCCCTGCACCAGCTTGCCACTGATGCCTGTGTCTATTAGGTGCTCACCAGAGCGTTGCAGGGCTCAGAAAATTGCTTTCTCTAAGAACTGGCTGTTTTTGTTTAAATTAGTCATTTTCCATGAGGAGGTACAAGTAACTTCAGGAATATTCTTTGAAAATTGTACATGTGTTTGGCAAAAAGGGCCACATTTCAAAACAGATAGTGCATTTCTACATAGATTTTGACACAAAGTTCCATACATTTGGAGTTAGAGTCTGATTGTGGAATTAGAAAAGGCATTTTCCAGGATTTGAGCGTTTCCTGTCTTGGGGGTCCCCTGCAACTTTTTAATCCAAGTACAGGTGATTCTGTGGTTCTTTCTTTCAGAGACTGAAAAGTATTCGTGAATTATGTTCTGCAATATCTACCTTTTATTAGACTGTGAAATGACAGCTGCTTAACAGGAATATTATAGTTTTGACTTTAGTAACTTCATAAAATGTCCTGCTTAGTACACTTAAGAAAAAGTCAGATCTACTATCAGTAATGTGTGAATAATAATGGAATATTAAAATTTTAAAGGTTTGATCCAGCAAGCCTGTCTTAGCATTTATTCCGTTTCAGACTATAACTGACTTATGGCATAACTAAAATATATAGTGAGCACGTTGTTTTCGCATATTGTTAGTCTAGTAGTATCTGTCATTCATTCACTCAGCTTGTGTGAATTCTCAATCGTGTGGTTATGGAAACGCTGAGTTCAGGTTGAAACAATGATTTCTCCTGTGTTGTTGGTTTGCCTGTTTTCTCAGGTGCCTTTTCACAGCCTGACTTTTACTTCTTTCCTGCGGACAAAGTTGATGAACATGTGGGAAGGCAATGGGAAAAAATGGGGGTTACGTGTGATTCAAGCTGGTCCAGCCCAACGGGACTGGAGGGATTTTCAGAATTGCAGGGACAGCTGGGTAGAGGGGGACTTACTAGATAAACCACAGAATCCTTAATTCTCTAACAATGTGCCTTGCTTCTCGCACACCCCAGATGATAGGGCATTGCCTACCCAATCACTTTCCTTGGTGTGGTGCTCGCTGGGGGTGGAGATAGAAGGGGAGGAAGGAAAGGAAGACAGATGGGCCAAGGAAGGTGGAGGAGGAGGGAGAGGATGGGGGAGGAGAGAGACCTTGTGGGCTGCTGAATACAGTGGGATTGAAAAATGGTGGGTTTTCTTTGTGCTTGGTAGTTTCATGATTTAATTGTCTTAGACTAGTTATGAAACTATGAAAATTGATTGATTTTTATATATTTGCTATGAGATTGCTTATTTTCTAAGGAAAGGACCCTGTAGTTTTTGTTGTGCTGTGACAGTTCGTTATCCAACTGACTTCTTACCCCCGATTTGTTGCTCCTTATTATTGTTTACCTTTCCTTTTCGTTCTTCTTCTTTGGGTACATTTTACATTTTGGTTCATTAAAAAAATTTTAGATTTACTTTTGTAACGTACCTGAAGGTCTTTTAAAAAAATTCTTACTGCCTTCTATGTTTTCAGCTTGTCCCCCCACCACACACACCTTTTTTTGTTTTTCTATGTTGCAAACTTTAGTTTTTTAAAGGTAATTTTCTAAAAATATGATTCTGCTATCCAGTGAGACTCTACTAGCATAGATGAAAGAAAAACTGACCCAGGAGAAGTCCTCAACAATAATCATGTCACACACCGCTCCCAATTCGGCAGTCTTTATAGTTGGTAAAATTCAGCTCCTTTCTTTGGAAGGGGTGGTGCAAACCAGCTTCTTTACTAAAAAAAAAAGAAGGTGAGATTTTAGTATTTGAGGTTTGTCATTTGTAGGGCAGCTCATTGCTGTTCAAACTGGCTTTCATCAGAAATGAATGATTAATTTATTCTGAAAATGGACCTTTCCTCCTTCCCCCTTCTCTTTTTCCTCCCTTGTTAACGTCTGAGCACATGTCTGAATGAAATGGAAATATAGCTCTGTTGATTATAGCTAAATCATGCATCATGCCTCAAACATGTATAATTTAGAGCTGGGTGCTTCAGTTGAGTGCTCTTACATCTGAAAGGTTTGTAATTTTACAGAACTGATGCATGCTTCTCATTAATGTCGTCAGGACTTGTAAAGAATAGTTAATAACAGCCTCCTCCTCCCAAAGCACAAGCACATTCCTTCTACCCCATTGTACTTATTCATTTAAAATGAGTTAAAACCATATCAATGGTTACTTGAAATGAAAGCCATTTGAATATATTCTTGTTAGGTGCAAATTAATTTAGTTCTTCAAAAGTAGTCAAAGCAACAGTAGATACAACAGTGTCTCCTTAAGTTCTATTTTGCCGTCACAGTGAGGTCTAAAAAGAAAAGGACATGAAATTTAATCAAACCTTGGAAAACAACTTCTGTTTTGAAAACAAGTTTTTGAAAGTTTCTAAGTCAAGACTACCTACATTAAAGAGTTATATGCAGATGCAATGCAGTCCTCAGGATCATATGCCTCTTTAAGAGGATGTTTGTCAACTTCTCCTGATGGAATAATGGCAGGGAAGAAGAATATTGGAGACTTAAAAGTGTTTTAGTTTTTAACTTTATCCCAAGGACTTAATAGTGTTTTCAGTTTGAAATTTTGGTTTAACCACAAGATGGAAAAATTGATGATGCAAGAACTAGTGCACACGGGATCTAATGGGCAAGTTGGGTGGTGACTTGGTATCATGGGAGCATCACTGTTCATCCCGAGGTACAGGAGGGAAGGCCAAGAGAATGGCAAAGATGCATGAAGCTGGCGGGTTTGCTGGCCTGGGCATGGGGATGCTGACATAGCAGCTGACCATTGATTTCTGTCCTTTTTCCCTGACTACTGTATTGTTTAGTTGTGCTGTCAGCTGAGGAGAGCATTAGTTCAGGAGTATAAAAATAGTCGTTTTGTCTGGTTTGGTGAGAACCCAAAGGCTATGGCAAGGCTTGGACCATCAGGGAGGGATGGCTGTTCATAGTACTGAACAGTTTCCTGGGAAGTCTGGGATTCCCTTGCATAGATGAAAGTAAAACTTGTTTCAGTCAACTTAAGACAAAGTTTCTGTTTGATTCATAATGAAAATGCTTAACATTTTCCAGGCATTATTCTGTTTACTGTGTGTATGGGTCCGGGAAAATTAAATGTAGGAAGAGATGTCATCAGACCAGAATCTTGTATGTGCTCTCCTGTGCCCTCAGGGCTTTTGTCAGGAAGGACGTTAGGACTGGCAAGGCAAGACTGGCTGGCACAAGAATGGCCAGTTAGGCAACTAAACATCTTTTCCTCTTTGGCCTGTTAGGTTTTTTTCTGAGGTGGAATTTGCCTCACAGTTTTTAGGAGATAATTTATTTCATAGACCATGTAGTCTGTTCTTACGTGGCTATGAAGAAATGTCCGAGACTGGGCAATTTATAAACAAAAGAGGTTCAATTGACTTACAGTTCGGGATGGTTGGGGAGGCCTCAGGAAACTAACAATCGTGGCACCTGATTGTAAGGCGCCTCTTCACGGCAGCAGGAGAGAGAGTGAGGCAAGCAGGGAAAATGCCAAATGCTTATAAAACCATCAGATCTCATGATACTACCATGAGGACAGCGTGGGGGGAACCACCCCCCTGATTCTGTTACCTCCACCTGGCCCAGCCCTTGACACGTGGGGATTATTACAGTTCAAGGTGAGATTTGGGTGGGGACACTGAGCCAAACCATATCAGACCCTATTCCTGGATTTGAATTATTAGTATTTCATGACAAGGAAAATTCCTTGTAGCGTTGTACAAAGGCCTTCATAAGCTTAAACAAATGCAAAGGGTGTTACTTGTGGCTATTCAGTACCACATCAGTGTAGTTCTGATCTTTTCCAGCTCTAGAGAGTTCTTGTATTAGCAGTCGTCTCTTAAGTTACTGTGATTTGAGTCTACCTGTCCCCCTTGGAAATAAGAGGTCACCGTGGCTCTTAGATAGCGACACTGATCTCTGCTTCACCTGTAAAATTTTGGCTTACCCTTTAAAGTTAAAACAAACTCAGGGTTTCAAGTAAATAGGCAACAAATACATTACTCATTTAGAAATCTGTTGGACGGAATCAAGGCATGCCACTTCTTGAATGCTATTATCTCTAACTGGAGGCTTGCTCTTACCCACTGCACCGTCTGAGAATATAGTGGGCTTGTGAGAGGAAACTCCCACTGAGCCATTAGGCTCCCATTTACCTAGTAACTCGCCCCTGGATGCCTCACAGTCGCTAAGTTGTCAGAGTTAGGAATTTAATACTTAGAAGTGGTGGTGAGCTCCATGCGTGGGGATGACATCATGGTAGTATCTGTAACCTAGAACCTGGCAGAGGCCTAGAATATTGTGGGGGCTTAGTAGAAATGTATTAAACAAGGAATGAATGAATCAATCTTCCACACCCTGCTCTTTGCATACACATTTACACATAATTACATATATATTTGTCCTTTACAAAATTCTCAGTTTGATTTTTTTCCTTCCAGGCCAGTTCAGTTCCTTTTCATTGTAAATGAAGAGGATGAGGTTATGGCATACTTTTTTTTTTTTTAAAGCACTAAAGATTGCTATTTATAATACTTATTTTTAATAAAAATAGGAGCACATAGCCTTCATGTTTCAAATAAAAAAGATGAAAAAAACTACTGCCCTATTTTTTTAAGTTTAAAAAATTATAGGACCAGATTTAGATCTTTTTAAACTACAGCTTTTTTTGTTTGCTTTTCATTTTGATCTTGTGTAAAAATGGTTCAACTAGTACAGAGTGTTCCCGTATATCCTTCATGCTTCTTCTAGTATCAGTTTTCATATTTATGGAAAAATTATGGAGCCTGGAAATCAACAATGGTACAATATTATTACTGAAACTACAGATCTTCTATGAATTTCACCAGTTTTTCCCCAATCCCTTTTTTTCGGTTCCACAATCCAGTCCAGTATCTCACATTGCATTGGTTGTCATGTCTCCTTATTCCCTTCTTTCTAATCTGTGACAGTTCCTCAGTCTTTCATGACCATGACTCTTTTGTTGAGCACTGGTCGGTTATTTTGTAGACTGCCTCTCAATTTGGGTTAGTCAAGGCTATCCAGTTTTGTCTAGAAGTCCATTGAAGTAATGTGTTCTTAGTGTATCACAGCTGGATACATTGTATACAAATGATGATGAAATTTGTCTTACCTTGATCACTTAGTGAAGGTGATGTCTGCTTAATTTTCCTCTGTAGTTAGTATTATTCCTTTGTAATTGATAAATATCTTGGGGGAGACACGTTGAGATGAATTTTCAGGTTTTCCCTTAGAGTTTCACCCACTGATTTTAGCATCCATCAGTAGATCTTGCCTGCAAGTCATTTCTGTGATGTTTGCCTAATGGTGATTTTGTATTTCCTTTATTTCTTTTATGTTTATTGGAATTCTTCCATAAGGAAGCTCTGTCCCTTCTCCTTTATTTAAATATTTATTCAGTTTTTTATATCAAAATGGAGTTTCAGATATTTATTTTGTCCTATGATTATAATCCAAAGGAGTAAATTATTATTTACTTTTTTGCTCAAACTGTTTCAGCTTTGGCCATTGTGAGTTCCAGCAGGTTGGCTCCTGTGTCCTTTTGACCTGCCCCATTGGGCACTTGCTTGATTTTTGGTAGCATATGGTGTTTTAGGTGCACCTTGTATGTTCCCTGTCTCAGCCTGCAATCAACCACTTTTTCACAGAGCCTTATTTCCTTTTATTAGAGGATGATATTTAGAAGCCAGGATCTGGGTGCTAATTGAACTCACTGCTTCTGGATTATCATTGCTTCCAGACCCTCTCAGTGGAGAGCTAGGAAGAACATGCGTGTATACTAGCCTATGCTTGTATATACATCTATATTTATTTCTGTATACATGTATTTGTGTGTGTGCATGTGTATACTCATACTGTACTACCGCTGATTCCAGTCTAACACCCTAAGAATCATTCTAGCCTTCTCTCTTCCCTTGTAACTTCTTTCATAGACAGTGAGAAACTTAGTTCTCATTACTACAGCATATTTACCTCTTTGTTCAATCCTATTGTATCACTGAGGATTCAATCAGAGAAACAGAACTAGCAAGAGATATATTAAAAAGATTTCTTGCAAAGAATTGGCTTGTGTGATTGTGGGGCTGGCTTGGTCAGTCCAAAATCCATAGAGCAGGCTGCCAGGAAAGACAGACTAGAACTCTTGGGCATGAGCCAAAGCTGCTGTCCACAGGGGGGATTCTTCAGGGAAACCAGAGTTCTGCTCCTAAGCCTTTTCATCTGATTCAATCCCCAGGCTATCTAGGAGAATCTCCTTTATGTAAATATAACTGATTATGGACTTTAAAAACATCTACAAGATATCTTCATAGCAGCATGTAGATTAGTGTTTGAATAACTAGGGACAATAATCTGGTTGAATTGACACATAAAACTGGCCATCACACCTAATATATGCATAATATAGTTACAAAATTGCTAATATGATACACACGATTATAACATTTGTGAAATTATAAAGAATTGTAAAATTTACAGACATGATGAATGTAAAATAGCACTGTTCAGAATCTCTAATTATACCTTTTATTTATAATCTTGTTGGGCCTCTTGCCCTGTAACTCCAGCCCTGTCTTGCCCTGTAACCTCAGCACTTAGTATGGGGCCTGGTACAGGAATAAAAGGAATAAGGATTTCTATCCTCATATTTCTTTATTACTGACTTTACTCTTTGCCAGTATTTCCATTACAGGAGAAGAGGGATGTGGAAGACCCAGTTTGGAAGGGGTTAGAAAAAGACCAAAAAGTGGGTGTTAGGTTAAGTCCTGGATTCTAGGTGTATTGCTATGAAGAACTTCCTGAGACTATGTTCTTTATAAAGAAAAGAGGTTTAATTGGCTAACAGTTCTGCAGGCTGTGCGGGTAGCGTGGCTGGGGAGTCCTCAGGAAACTTTCAATCATGGAGGAAGGCAAAAGGCAGGCACATCCTCACATGGCAGAGCAGGAGAGAGAGAGTGAAGGGGAAGGTGCCATATACTTTTAAACAACCACATCTCATGAGAACTCTTATCAATCATGAAACAGCGCTAGGGGGATGGTGCTAAACCATTAGAAACCACCTCCATGATCCAGTCACCTCCCACTAGGCCCCATCTCCAACACTGGGGATTACAATTCAGCATGAGATTTGGGTTGGGTCACAGCCAGATCATATCTCTAGGAAGATGTTTCATAAATGTTCTTTTTGCCTCTGGTTAATCTTGAAATAGTTCAGTGAATGACAGATCTGTTTCATTCACAGAATGCCTGCTTTGCCTCCCTTCCCCACACCTTTCCACTCCTTCTACAAGTTCTGCTTAGTTAAGTTTTATACCTTTGAGAGCAGGATAACTCCCCATGGTTTAAAGTTCCAGAATAGATTAGCTGAGGGCATTATCAGACAGTAACAGTTCACATTTTTGTTGTTTGGAGTAGCAGCAGAATGCAAACTATCATTTATTCAACCATATTTTATGAGGATTTTTCCTATGCCATGCATTTGGGCTACAGAAAGGAAAAGATATGGCCTTTGCTATGAAAGGGTATATATTCTAGTGTACTGTTTCTCTAATTTGAGTAACATATGGTTCTGTTTCAAATGGAAAAGAACTATCTGAACTCCCAATGTGGACTTACGTTACTTTTGTTATAATATTACATAAGTGTGTAAAAACCTGTAACTAGGAATAAGCACCTTATGCTTATATATTTTTTACAGCTATAAACCACAGCCAGTTTGTAATGAAATATAAAACTATAAAGCCATTGAAATCCAAACTGACTGTATTAATTTAATGTGACAGATGACACTGTTTTGCTGAAACAAAAGGACTATTTGCAATACAAAATATTGTATTGACTCATCCAGGCAGAGGTTTTTGAGTTCAGACTACCTCTCCTGTGTGGGGTGACTCAGTGTTCCCTGTTCTGTGTCGGAAATGCTGACGTCCTGGTTCTTGTGGAGTGCAGTATGATTTCATTTGGTCTTCTCTTGCCCCAAATGCATCATCTGTGTAGTAGGTCTGCCTCTTGGTTTTTTGTTAGTGACAGACAATGGAAAGGGTAACAGTTTGCCCCATCATGACTCTGAATGCAGTACAAACTGGCCCTGAGAAAGATGATTTAAAAATAGGCTTCTTTACATATTGTGGACCCCTAAGAATAGGTCCATGAATCTCCCTTCGAGACACATTGGTTCCGTGGAGAGAGAGGTGCAAACATACTTTCACCATATGATGTGCTCATTGCTGTACTGGAAGTTCGTATAAGGTACCATCTGATGGTAGGAGAAGTTGTGAGCATTAGGTTGAAACTTGAAGAATGAGAAGGATTTTGCCAGACTGACATGTAAAGGAGGGCATTTCCAGCCGGACTAACAGCATGTACACAGTCATAGGGTCTTGGAAGAATGGGTGGTTCTGTACTACTGGAATACAGTACAAACTTGTGAAGTTGAAAGTAGCATTCTAGCACAGTCTTTATTAGGGAATTCTTATGTTTGCATGATGAGAGATAAATTTTACTCGTGTAATAACATTATAAGATAAAGGTCTTCTTTTTTTTCTTCTTCTTTACTGAGGTGTTCTTTATATGCCACACCTTACCTACTTCAGCATAGTTCAGTGGTTTAGTAAATTTACATATTACTTTACGTATTCATCACCACAGTCCAGTTCAGAATACTTTCATCACCGTACAGTGTTCCCTCCTGCCAGTCTGTGGTTAATTCCTGTGCTCGTCTCAGCTCTAGGCAACTACTGATCTGCTCTTTGTCTCTATAATTTTGCCTTTTCTAGAAATTTTGTAACGTAGGATCACACAGGATTTAGTCTTTTGTGTCTGGTGTCTTCCACTTAACATCATGTTTTCAATAGTCATCCATGTTGTAGCATGTATAAGCACTTATTCCTTTTTATGACCAAGTGATATTCCATTGTATATCAATGGCCATGCCACATTTTGTTTATGTGTTGATAAGTTAATGTACAGTTGGATTGTCTTCAAGTTTTGGCTATTATGAATAGTGCTGTTATGGACATTTGCTTGCAACTCTTTGCGTGGATGTATGTTTTTCTTTGGTAGATACTTAGTAGTGGATTTGCTAGGTCTTGTGATGAGATGCTGTACCATCTTACTGAGTTTATTGTATTACTGGCAACAAGCCATAGTGTTGTCATTTGCATTTATGGTGAACAGCAGCACATGTACGTGGGGCAGAGGGAATGAGAAGATATGAAAATCACT